TAATTCTTAGTTTGATTAACTTGATTCTTAATTATAATAGATAGTAAAAGAAACATACGTGTGTGTGCTTGTGTCCCCGTATCATGTCTTTTTCAACTTTTTTTTGTCCCGTGTCCTTGTTTGTATCCGTGTCTGCACACGTACCCATGCAACCTAGTCAATCACTAAGGAAGTCACTAAATAGTATAGTTAGTAGAAGTGATTATATTATAGTTAATCAGGCATTAAGGACTAAAGCTAGGGGCAGAGGACTTGTTTTAAAGCAATTAAAAAGGAAATGATAATTAACATAAATGGCAGAGGTAGCTGTTAACAAAACTTAATAGAAGAAAAGTTCACATTGTTAACCCAAAAATGTATGGTATCTTTCTACACATGCACTACTAGACAATTCCTATTACCTGTATAGTGATATTTGTTTACAATAAATTTTTGTGGTTTTTCGATATTAATCCCTTAAATCTTATTGTTTTGATACTAGTCCCTCAAATGTTCATAGTTTGATATTAATCCTTCGATTCATCTTAATATGTAGATATTAGTCCTTTCGTCAACTTAACTATTCAAAACTCTAAACCATGAGTTGCTTTAGACTAACCATGGATGGGTAATTACCTTATTACCCATCTCCTTCGCTCCTTATTAAAACCGTGGTTTTCTTCCCTCATCTTCTCTGAATGTGGCCGGAAACCGCCCCCTCTGATGCCCTCAGGCACTCAGCATTGCTGGCGACCATGGACGAAGCTTGAGAATGTTTTCTTCCTTTGGCCTTTTCTTCCTCTTCTTATTTTAATCCTGGGGAGGTTATGAAATTATTTTTGTAATTATGTTTGGAAACATGAACTAATGAAGTCACGAGAATGGAGTGCGGAATTATGCTTCTCTTTTGAAACTGAGCATTATTTTAAAAAACCTCCGCCTAGTCCGCTTAGGCGTACGCCTAGGCCTAGGCGGTACCTAGGCCGCCTAACTGCCTAGTCCGCTTAGGCGTACGCCTAGGCCTAGGCGGTACCTAGGCCGCCTAACTAGCGCCTAGCGCCTTGTAGGCCTTGATTGTGATTTTAGGTGTCGTAGCCTACACGTCCTCCAAACTCCATTAACCTCCAAATATGAACACCTCCACTATCTCCTCCGACTTTCAGCAAAACCTCATCGACCACCACTTAAATGAAGTAAGAAAAAAAAACATCCATAAACCACTTAGGCGTCCGCCTAGACGATTAAGCGCTGGGCGCCAAGTCCGAAGCTAGAAGTGCCCAGCGTTTAATGTAACATTGAAACTGGGTGAGCTCATTTCATGCATAACTGTGTATTTTAACTACTTTCATTATGCTATAGCTTTGTATCATGAGAATTTCATGATATGGTTGTAAGGATTTTGAGAATTTTGTTATTGGATGAGTTCCCTTCTCTGGACATTAATGGGTTTGGTTTTGGGTATATTCAGGGAGAAGATGAGTGAAATGGATCAAATGAGTTTTGAGTTCGAGGGTCTTAACGGGTGCAAGTTTAAAGGGGCGTGGATTTGGGTATGTGAATTGAGGTGTATAACTGTCCAGTCAAGAAAAAAAGTAAAAAGAAACCGAATATTCCATCTATAGTTTAACGCCAACTAATTAGAATGACTAATATCAACATACTAAGGTGCTTTGGGGGACTTAAATCAAAATATGAGGATTTGAGGGACTAATATCAAATGCTAAAGATTTAAGAGAATAGTATTAAAAAAAACCCTATGTTTTTAGCATCAGACACAGGTTAAATATTAACTTGTTCATGTTTGCATTCACTAAGTTAAGTTTGAATCAACGCACCTTTGTACGTTTGTGTAACAATTAGCAATTTTATTTTTACAAATATGCCCTTCTTCCAAGTGTTATTATTCAATTTTAACCTTCAATTCTCACTGAAAGTTTTAAATTTTTATTAAGCAGCAAGATTTTAATATGATATCAGAGTAACCTAGATTCAAATCTTGATAGAGACATTTAAAAGTAGCTTTTTATAATAAAAGGAAGGGTACATAAAATAGCTCATATTTCTACCTTTAAAAAGAGCCAACAACCATTGTTTTAAAAAACGTTTTGTGTGGCAAATCCAATTTATATAAAGCACTGCAACTAAAGTTTTAATTTTAGCTAAACCTTTTTCCTCTCTTGGTGTGGTGTCTCGCCTCAGCATTTCTCTTCGATGCTAGAGTAATTGTTCTGAAGTCTTGACCACTACTGGAGTGAAAATATTGATCAGGTCAAAAACCGGTATCCAAATCCATATTCTATTAAGCACCAAGGTTAGACTTTCCAAATCTAGAAACTTTCCTCTCTGGTGTCTATCCTCAGTGTTTCCTTTGTTCCTAGAGCCATTATTCCACAATATCGACCATTGTTAGAGCTCCTGCAATCCGTGTTGAGACCTGCAAGAGGTAAATTGTCTTCAATTTATTATTATAATTTTGATTTTCTCCTTCTATCTTGTCAAGAAAGGATCAGGTCAAAACTTGATGTCCAGATCCAAATTATATAAAGCATTGTAGCTAGAGTTTTAATCTTAGCTAAACCCTTTTCCTCTCTTGGTGTGGTGTCTCACCTCAGCATTTCCCTTCGATGCTAGAGTCATTGTCTTGGAGTCTCGATCGCTATTGGAGTGAAAACGACAGAAGCAACCGCCTTGAAAAAATGAAGTGCCAAAAAAAAGCTCCTAACTGCGCAATGCTTTTTTAAACATTGCCCTCAATCTACAAGACCGAATTTTAGATTACAAAATTATCCCTCTAGCTTCACTGCAACATTGAGTTTTGGTGTAGTGCTTCTGATTTTAAGATCAAGCACTTCATTTGGATATTTGAATTTACTGGTAATTATGCACTGAAGCCAGGTTTTTCCATTTTGCATGTAAATTCCTTTAAAGCCAATACTTAAATCTTTTTTCCCTCCTCTCACTTGATGTTAACAATTCAACTATGGTCAAAATATCTTACAAATAACTTTTCCACACAAGAACAAAGCCTTTATTAGGAGTGTTTTTTTATCGTAGAAAGAAATTAAATAGCATATTGTTGCTTTAGGTCTATAGCTTCTAATCAAGTAACTAAGACGACGTTTGCGGGAGATTATTTTATGGTCAAACTAGCTTTTTAAGCTAGCTTTTTAATATCTCCTTGTTTAAAAAACTAGTAAACCCCAGCTTTTGAAAAACTAGGGTTCCGTTTGGATACCATTGTGTTTTACTTATTTCCATGGTGTTTTTGTCAAAAACAAAACACCATGCGTTTGGAAACCATGGTGTTTTTTGAGCTAAATTATCCTCAAACCAAAAACACAACACTTATTTCAAAACATATTTTAGGTGTTTTAAGTATGGTATTTTGATTTTGAGTTTGAGAAGGTGTTAATATAATATCTAACATAATATATTAAATATAATTAATATAGAGTTATTATCAACATGCTTATTATATTATACTATACTATACTATATTATAGTTAATTTAATATATTAATAATATTTATTAAATAATATAAAAATATAATAAATAAATTATCTTATATAAAAACATATTAAATACCAATATTTTATATGTTAATAATGTATTATATAATAAGTAATTAATAATTAAATATAAATAAACTAATAAATAATAATAATAAAGTTATTGGTAATAAATAATAATATAATAATAATATAATAATATACTATACAATGGTATA